ATGAGATTGTGCAACTCCTAGATAGCGTAGGAATGCTTTGGGTGTACCAAACGTCACAACGTAACTGGGTGACTATAAAGGTACACTACAGGCATCTCTAAAAGTGTCTATTGGGTTGGCACGAATCGAGACTGGGATTTGTCACTCCGTATGACGGAGAGGTATCTCTGGGCCCACTCGGTAATGCATCATCATAATGAGCTCAATGTGACTAAGTAGTTAGTCACGGGATCATGCATTACGGAACGAGTAAAGTGACTTGCCGGTAACGAGATTGAACGAGGTATTGGGATACCGATGATCGAATCTCGGGCAAGTAACGTACCGATTGACAAAGGAAATTGTATACGGGATTGCTTGAATCCTCGACATTGTGGTTCATTCGATGAGATCATCGTGGAACATCTGGGAGCCAACATGGGTATCCAGATACCGTTGTTGGTTATTGGCCGGAGAGATGTCTCGGTCATGTCTGCATGGTTCCCGAACCCGTAGGGTCTACACACTTAAGGTTCAGTGACGCTAGAGTTGTTATGGGAAATAGTATGTGGTTACCGAAGGTAGTTCGGAATCCCGGATGAGATCCCAGACGTCACGAGGAGTTCCGGAATGGTCCGGCGATGAAGATTGATATATTGGACGAAGGGTATTGGAGTCCGGAAGTGTTCCGGGGGTACCAGGCTATGGCCAGCATGACCGAAAGGTGTTTCGGGAGCCCCGACAAGTGTTGGAGGGCCTCATAGGCCAAAGGGGAAGGGGCAAACCAGCCCACTAAGGGGTGGTGCGCCCCCCACACCCTTTCCCACGTTACTTGGGGAGGTTGGGGCGCCTCCACCTGGCATGGGAGGCAAGCCTCCACATGCTTGGCTTGGGGGGCAAGTCTCCCTAGGATTTTCCCTAGGGAGATCGAATCTGCTTGGCCGCCGCCCCCTAGGGAAAACCCTAGGGCGCCTTCCCCTCTCCCCTTGCCCATATATATAATGGAGGGGTGGGAGGGCAGCCGCACCTCTTCCCTGGCGCAGCCCCGTCCCTCCTCCAACACCTCCTCCTCCTCTGTAGTGCTTGGCGAAGCCCTACCGGAGAACCACGAGCTCCATCGCCATCACGCCGTCGTGCTGCTGGAGTTTTCCCTCAACTTCTCCTCTCCCCTTGCTGGATCAAGAAGGAGGAGACGCCCCCTGGCTGTACGTGTGTTGAACACGGAGGCGCCGTCCGTTCGGCGCTTAGATCGGAATCGTCCGCGATCTGAATCGCTGCGTGTACGACTTCACCAACCGCATTCTTATAAATCTTCCGCATCGCGATCTTCAAGGGTATGAAGATGCACTCCCCTCTCTCTCGTTGCTAGTCTCTCCATAGATTGATCTTGGTGATGCGTAGAAAATTTTGAATTTCTGCTACGTTCCCCAACAGAAACGATATGCTTGGGCACTAGCGGCAGAAGGCTGGGGTGTGCGCGCAGTACTATATGGAAGCACGGAAAGCAAGGATTGTTTATTTTAATATAGGACAGTAGATGTAACCAATGCGGTGTTAGATTGCATGCAGGAATCTGCAAAACTAGAAACAATCGATGCAATCTTGCCTTTGTTTGTATCTTTGCATATTACAGAGGACTAGAGGAGCGTGCGGCGGAAAATACGCTGGACAAAAACAAAGTTCGATCTAGTAGACACTTTTTGGGTTTTTTTTGGTGTAGAGGATGAACTAATCTATTTTTTTTTTGGCTTTTTTGTGGGTTGTAGGACTGAAAAATAATCTAACCTAATAAAACTGTAAATCTCTCACCGATGAACCTGAAAACTGATACCACGCTTGATGTGCACTGGGGCCCGATCTTTCGATGAGAGGGAGATAACTACAATTTTTGGGTGGGACTTGACCCTCACGATCCGGCTACCAACCGTACAGGGAGAACCGTACACGACTGATATCCACGGCAATCGCTGAACCAACTCCACGGCGTTATCGACCGAGCCAACGACGCGATCGACCTATCCACGAAGGATTTTTCCTGCAAGCAAATTGAAGAACATGCAAGAAAATAATAGCCAAGCAATCTGAAATTGGGGATGTGCTAGATGAATAAATCTCACAAATTGAGGTTCCGATAGATGTCTTGACGGTCGCACTAGCCGCTACGAGCGAAGATAAATAAAAGTAGCAATAGTTAAACTTCTCTAAACAAAACTCAGTCTAAACCCTAACCTATTGGCTGCTATTTATTAACTACGGAGATACGCCCGACCGAGGCGGTGGCGACTGAATTGTAGCGAAACACGCTTGATGTGCTGGATCAGGCCATGTACGTCATGCATGTAGTAGCAAATAGTATTGGCCCATGCTGGGCCCACTTATTGGTTGATGATTCTTGGACAGATGATTCCACGACAGGGCATTGCATGCCTTGCATGGTGGCCAGAACTTCCAAGGTGTGTGCACATGGACTTGCATTCACGTGGGCACACCATCTTGACCATGGACCATTGATAGTGCATATGCATGTATAAATCTTCTTCAACTCTGGATACAACAATAAAATGTGTAGTGTATTTGCATCCATTAGTAAAACAAAGAATTGGGCACTTATGATTAGAAATCACCTGAAAAATACGTCGTTTCATATTTGTAGGTGTAGCTATCATGGCTTTGTCCACATCATAATGTATCATCATCTCCCCCAACCGATGATGCGGAAAAAACGGTCACTCACCTCTGCCCAAATTGACAACATCATCTTGGTTTGCAATGAACACACGCAAGCCATATCCATGAACTACAAAATGCACAACATTATTCTACAAGTAATCATAAAAAATGATAACTTCAGAGACCAAAAGATGATCCATTAACTTTCAATTTGCGTTACATAGTGCAACAACAACACATACAAAGCAAAAGATTGTAACTTGACACTGACAACAGTAGCACATACTACAAGTTCATCTCCTAAACAACTGGGCATTGACACTAACATAGCTAACAACACAAAAGCACACCAACTCCATCATCTCCATCAGTTCTTCACCAGTGAAATGGCTGCCATCACTAAACGTAGAATGACTGTTGCCATCAGTGCCTTCATCATCAACAGTATTTCATTAACTAACCCTAGGAGTGCCGCCGCTTGCTGCTTGCTCATGCTACCTGCAATTCTTCCATAAATTCCATCTTCAATGCTTGGAAGCATAGGGCTTTCATCCACTGCACCTGCAAACCTTCTATTCTTTTCTTGGATCAGCTCTTCCCTCCTAACCTCTGCAGCTCCTAATGCATCTACTACTTTATTACCAATGAGGAACTTCTTATCCAGAAGGTCGGCAACGTATTCCAACTTCCAATGCCAAAAATGGTCCTAAGAACAAACCAGATGAACAAACGCCAAAAATCACCATGACAAGTTCCATAAAAATCGACCAAATCGAAGAACTAGGGCTGCACTCCCCTTACACTGACAGGACACATGTAGAAGACCCACCCTTCATGCTTCTCCGTGCTGGAGAGATAGAGCTTCACGCAAGTGCGACACTTAGGACATCTGATGAGCGGTACCACCACCGAACGGCCGTCAAGCGATGACTTGACCGAGCTTGTCGACATGGCAGAGGCGAGCAACCTCCAAGACACGGGGAGAGGGCGGCGGCAAGCAAGCTCCAACGGGGAGAGGGCGGCCGCAAACAAGCTCCAACGCGCCGCCGGCAAGAAATCGGGAATTAGGGATTTGAGTGGCTGACGGGATTTCGTAGCTTCGAGCTTTCAGGGGGGTCGATGGACATTACATGCACCGACAAATTTACAAAAAATAACCCCGAGCCGGAGGATGTGGACGCCTTTGACTGGTCAAACCGAGCGGCGAAGAGTGGCATACGCAGAATAATGATCGTACATGTCCTGTCATATTTGGTGACCGTATTGACCGTATTTCTAAGTACAGTGACCAAAGCTAGCTTTCTTCACAAATTCAGTGACTGCCAGTGCATTTTACTCAATCTAGAAAAACACAAAGTCCCCCATCATTTCTGCTTAAATCTGGGTTGTTCACCCGATGTGCCTGGTTTGGTGTCAAAAGTCTAGGCATGCCACCCCCGTCTTATTATTTTTTCCCCTTTTTTAAAGAATGGGTGATCTGGAGAGGTGGAGTGTCTGTAAAGTATGTGTTCAAGATTGGTCAACCGATGCTGCCTGTTCCCCAACAAGAATCATCGAATGCATGAAAATCCAATGACACTTGTAAGATTCATCTTGCATCCACAAGAAAAAAGAGACTGAAGAAGGTCCACGTCCTACTGTCGCACACTGAACCAATTAGATACTTTGCTTTAAGTTATATATAAATCTGGCACGTATTTGGACTTGTGGAAATTATTTAGACATTACCTATGCCTTTATTTAACATAGTACAGATGAAAGCGATCATACACGCGCATACACTCACCCCTATAAACGCACACACGCACACCCTATCCCTATGAGAACCTCCGAAAGATTTGAACCCTGGTGGGCTAGGGATACGACAGTCCCTCTGACCATCCAACCATAGGTTGGTTCGCATACATTACCTATGCCTCCTCACATCTTGTTGCACTATGGAGACCCGTGCCGTCCTAGGCCACATGGCATCTTACCGTTTTGCCGGTTTGTACTCTGATTTTCTCTTTTGGTCAGAAAAGATTTCAAGGGGAAAATCATGTAAATGTCCATGCGCATTTGTACAATAATTAATACAAGAGCTGTAGGTAATTTTCTATGTTGCATATGTTCAAGCAAACGTTCTGTTTTCAAAAGTAAAGAATGTTTCCCGTAAAAAAATGTAAAGAATGTTCCAATCTTTGTACAACTTGCGACGGTACCCTTTGGGATGCATGATACGGGTATAAATATGCACCAGTCAGGTCCCTGGAGAGGAGAGGTACAGAAATTCCACAGGAGACGAGGGGAGAAGCGAGAAAATCCAAGGCTCGGCGGAGGGGCAGAAAAGGCAAACTCCAGCGACGAAGGAAATGGGCCCGAAGAGAAAACTGGATGACCTGGCCCAGCCATCCAGCAGCGGCGGCGGAGGCGATGATAGACCGACGAAGGCGCCACGGCTCTCGCCGCCGCCCGCGCAGTCGCCCTCTCGCGACCAGACGGCGCCTCCCACCTCACCGCCTCCGCTTCAGCCGCCAGGGTCCCCACCGCCTCCCGCCGACAAAGATCCGGTGAGTTCCCAGCGTCTTGTAGCAGCTTGGGTTGCGATTGGTCGGCCATCTTTTCGCGGAATTTGGCGCGTTTGGCTGTTCTTTATGTCGTTCTTGGCCTGTTTCTTGCCCCCAGTTTGTGGGAGATATGAGTTCTTGGCTGTCCGGTCGGTGAGGTGGCTGTAGCATATGGGGGGATGAGTTCTTGGCTGTAGCATATGGCGCAGTCGTAGGTTCTTCGAATGGATTGGTTTGATACTCGCCGACCCTTCTGCAAGTTCTTGCAGTTCGGTGAGATGGATGGGGTTTCCTAATTTGACCCAAAATTGTGTTCTGTTAGTTCTTGGTAGTATAATCGGCTGAAATTGGTAACCTAACAATGATGCTCTGGTTTTCCCTGCAAAGTATTATTTCTTGATTCCCTGTGCACTCCATTTTTCAGGTGGAGCTGGAAGAGGGGGAGCTAGAAGATGATGCAGATTCACAAGAGGAAGCAGAGGATGATCAGGATTCGGATGAGGAGCTCGGAGGATCACTTCCTGGTAACTTCTTCTCTATACTCTTCATGAATGATCGAGGAAACATCCCAGATGATATCATTGCATAGTAACTTATTCTCTACTGCTCAGAACTTGCACTCGGCACACAAGAGTATCTTTCACTGCGAGAAACCTCGAGCCAGTTCCTGGATGGCAAGAGAACGTACCTCAAACCGCAAAAGGACTGCCGTATCCTCATTGGTGTTTTCCGGTGTCCAGATGATCGTCCGACAGCATTAGGAAGTGAGGTGAGAATGCTATACCTCAGAGTTTTTTTAAGCTCTTCAACCATGAAGTGGATGCACTCTACAATGCAGTAAATTCTCTTTCTTGTGTGCGCTTCAATTTCAGACCACCTGAATGTAGACCTCCCAAATGTATTATTGCCATCGACTATCACAAGATATTCATTCTTTTGCCAATTGACGTGATATATGGGAGTTACATTCTCAAACGTTTCCAGTATGAGCTTGTTTACTGCCCCAGTCGTTCTGTGTTTGTTTGTTCTTTCAGTATATAATTCCTTAGATATTGTATTGAGCAATTGCACAGTGGAAAGTACTCTGATGTCGGCAGATGTTAAATGAATATCATTGTGAATTGTAGTCAATATTTTGCACCTTATGATTTCTGCTCTTTTGGAAACAAAAGTTCTTTTACCATGAATTTCCTCTTGTTTTTTTCCATGTGTGAGAACCATAAAAACAATTTTGCTTCATCAGCATTACTATTCAAATCCATGCTCAAGTTAGATGAATGCTGCATATCGTCCATCATACCGTAATGCTACCTTTTCTGATTCTTATTCTTGGTATTGTAGGAACAACTCGCAGAATTGGTTCGTGAATCTCCAGATAACTCTATCATCCAGGAAAAGATGAAGGTTTGTCTGCATTCAAGTAATTTTATGCTAGAAACATTGTCATAATTTAGTTTGTTGTACATTTCTGAAAATCATTTTCTTATATAGATTCTCAGTAAGCATTATGTGCTCTTCCGAAGAACTCGCCAAGATGGCAGCTGTTTTTACAGAGCTTTTCTGTTTTCCTACATGGTAACTGTTTCAGTTTACTTACTCATGATGATGGTATTCCTTTCTTGATCTGCATGGAAATGTAATATAAATAGGCTTGTCTACAGGAGATCCTTCGACAAATGCAAGATAAACAAGCTGAGGTTACTCGTCTTATGGAATGTTTGGAAATGTATACAGATAGATTCTCTCGTCTTAAGTGGGACAAAGCATACTTCTTCAATCCTGAAAAATACTTCTCAAGTGTTGTTTCTGTAAGTACTGTACTAGCTTGCAAAAGCATAAACCTTTTTTTGCCTTATCTCCTTATCATTTATGTGCAAAATAATTATGTGGGGCATATATACTTGCTAACAATAGTATTTATCTCTTGTGTTGCCTGAATTGTTCTGAAAATAACTGAACTCGTTCTGCCTCCTCAGATTTTTAACCTTCAACTATCTCCTAAAAATTAACAGACTGAACAATGCCTTAAAGAAAATAACAAATAGATAAGATGGTGTAAAGTGCAGGACAACTACATGGGCAGGGCACTAGAATGTTTCATTCTTTCACAGTTGTATAAAATTTTCAGTTTGCCATGTTTTATGTTGTTCTTGATGATTGTAGTTTTACTTCCAATTTTTTTCTAACAGCTATAAGTGCTTGCTGCGAACACCAAATTCACTATGAACATAATTGAGCATTCCGTATCAATCAGCATGATCTTTGGCTGGGTTTATATGATGTTGTTTCGCCACTACTGCTGGAAGAGGGATGAACTCCTGTAGCATTTTGACATTCTCTTCATGATATAGCTTAAGTTACATGCATAACCTAGTGTCTGCACTTTGTTTCAGGAGCTCAATGAGGTTCTCAACGTCATTGCAGCAGGGTATGTGTATGTTTTAACTTGATTTTCATAGAATGGTCTTGAAGATATGTTTACGATACCCTCATTTCGTGTTAGTATATTTTTGTTTACAGACAGTTTTTTTGTGTTTTGTAGCTGTACTTCTGAATGGCTGTACAAGAGAAGCCTGCAGGAGACCTTTTCAGGCAGGAGTAAGGATATCAGTCCTTGTTTAGGATGTGTTGTTTGTCTATTTGTTCTTTATGTAACATGTTGTTTTTGCCAGTTATATCTTTCCTTAGGTTGCTTACTGAGACTGAAATCCGGACAGAAGAGTTCTACAAGCAATCTATCCCCCAAAATTTGAATGTCCTCCAGGTGAAGTTTCTGCTCCCATGTACTATCCTCGAATATCATTCTCGATATAGTACAGACGGATTATCTTGTCCTCTGTCTTTGAGACTTAGCATACTTATTAAAGTTTTATCAGCAATTCTCGTGGTGTATGAGTTTACCTTTCTCTCTGGAGAGACATTTATACTCAGAAATAAAGTTTGCCACTGGTCAATTTTGTGATTTACGGTAATAAAGGATTAACCAATACTAGTTTTACCACTCACAGATTACACTCACCATTATTTCACATATATGGTTGTGATAACAGTTCTGTTGGAAAACGGTGCGATCGCTGGATGCTGAAGCTACCACTACACAAATGAGGGCTTTGACATACACGCTCGGCATACCGTTGCGTGTCGAAGTCGTGGATAAGAGCTCGACGGGTCAAGGTGTGTTAGTGAAGCGCCTCAATTTCTTTCATCAGGCAGACTTGAACAAGGGCCCTCTCCATTTGACTCGGGGCTACCTTTCCTCGAGCACAGCTCCTAAACTGCTGGAGGAGGGAGGCGACGATGCCAACTTGTTATCATCTGATGGCGCGCCCTTGCTGACCTTGCTGTGTAGGCGTGGTCACTGTGACATTCTTTACCGCAAGTGAACAAACTTTGCGAGTTCGCTTCATTGACAAAAACTACCTCCAGGATGATTACAGGGAAGCCTACTGACAATTTTGTATAGTGTGTGTGGTCGTTTGTGGGTCTGCTCCCGAACAACCTGTGACTACCTCTGCTCCTTGGCTTTCTCGTTCTTGCTGGTGCTGTTGTTAGTTACTCCTGTATTTGGAAGGAAGCTACGGGATAGAAGATGTTATAGGAACATATGAAGAATTATTGGGATACTGTTGTTTGCAAGTTTTGGAACATCAAATCTGGCTTATGTCAGATTCTGTGACTTGTGTTTTCTTTTCCGAATAAGCAATTTCGATATGAGCTTGACGGCTAATGCGAAGTCAAGTACTTGTTTGAAACCAGACTTGGCTTATATCAGATGAAGAACATAGAATATGAATCTTGTGTAATCTTTAATTTTATTTTTCTTCACTGGGCTCTTACCTCTTCACAAATAAGCGAGAGTGCATACCAAAATCTTTGTTCCAGTTTGTGGCAGTGGGTTTCTAGGGCATGACTGATGCAGTATGGTGCCAATCCCAGTTACTTTCAAATATTTAAACTTGCACTTCCAGTGAAAACTTAAAGGATACTTATATGTACACTTAGGGAAGTGAACTATTGTTATTAATCAGATCACCTTTGTGAATAGCCCAGTTTCTTGACAGTTTGGCTGATTGTGAATAGCCCATGTACTACTATGAGGGTGCACCACCGGATGGTTGTACAACCGCGGCATCGTCTCTGTTCCAATCCCCCTCCGCTCCTCCCGTCCTCCTCGACCGGCTCACCCAAGTGCTGGTAGTGGTAGTACCTTGCTTCGTCTGGTGGTTTCTCTTCTCACTCCCAGTGAGCGCGTTCATTTCTCCTTCCACGAGTACAAGAAGCTTCCTCCCAATTGTTACAATTCTTTTTCACCATTCGGTATGGGTGGTGAGATATGTCAAAAATAATGAACAATTGTTACACTTTTTAAGCTTTTCTAGTTTCATGTGCGCAAGATCGAGCATGTTCAACCCTAGCTGTAGTGAAAGGTGGCTCCATCAGTCCACGCCATTAGTGTTAGAAGGGAGAGATGGATTTGATGAAATTGTTCGTTATATTGCTTGAGCCTCGTGGGCATATATATAGGAGTACAATCATCTACTTGGAGTACAAGACAAGCCAGAATCAAATTCTACTCTATCTCATCTTTCCTAATAAACATGGTACTCAACAT